TCATTACAGAAAAAAAAAAAAAAAAAGAATCAGGCTTATTTCTGCAGAGCAGCTATTGTGTCTCCAGCCAGAGTAACTTCCTTTGTTAAGACACAGGCTGTAGATTGAACTGGCTTGCCAAAGATACCTAAAAGAAATTATGTACCATTCACTTGACTGAGAGTATTTGTGGAGTTTGAATTTTGTTCACTTACTCTGACAGGGTCCTTGATGATTTAGATAATTCAGGACAATTTTAGAGACTTTTTCAGCATCTATTTCATTACAAATTGGCCCCACAATGACGATGATTATTAGTTCTGCCTCAGAATAAATCTTAACTTTGTTATAAGTGAAATATTTGAAATTAATGGCATCTTACATTTGAACAGCATCAAATTTTAAAAGGCAATCTCGACACCGTTTATCTTCCCAAACACTCAGCAAACTAGATGGCATTATGGGAACTTCATTAGACAAGGAAACCAAGGCCCCATGTGGTCAGGCCACTTGTTCACAGGCACAGTAGGGGCTACAGACAGAAGCAGAACTCAGACTTGTGGGTGTGGATTTCCCCATTACCATGCAGCTTTATCCTCAGTAACCTCAACCATTTTTAAACTTAGCTACTAGGAACTAGTTTAGGTACAAATAGAGAGAAACCTCTACTATCACTCTTACAACAGTCTTACCACTTCCACTCTTGGTTCTAAATCTGCACAATATATTTACAGTAATGCCCAGTCATTTAACACACCTTTCCATTTGGTCCTTACACACCTTCTACAGCAGCATCTTGGATTCAAGTCTTGGTTCTGCCATATAATAAGCTATGCAGACTTTGGGAAGTCAGCCAACCAATTTGGGCCTCAGCTTCTTCAAGTATAAAATGGGGATTATGATACCTATCACCCAAAGTTCTTAATGAAATTAAAGCAGATAATGTACATGTAAACTTTAATGTGATGACATAAATGGTACATGCTGTTGTTGTCGCCATCATCGTCATCATCATCATCATCATCATATCATCGTCATCATCTTATCAGACCCTGGCTGGGTGAACTTCCAACCACAAATACACCTCTGCTTTAACTTACGGGGTTTCCAGCATGACTTTACAGACACTTGTCATCGT